GCCTAGCCCCTGCTCCCAGGGCAGTCGGGGCTTGGGTGCTTGTGCGTCTTCCCTCGAGGCTGGAAGTGGCTGCCCGGCGCCGGGCTCTCCGCAGTTCTGCTGTCTTTGCGCATGGAAGTCTCCAAGAGGGGCTCCGGGAAGCGGCGAGCCGAGAGGGGGGCGAACGGCCTGACGGGGGGCAGGAGATAGGACACAAGGCTTCTTTGGGGGAGACTCGGGGTAACTACGCCCCCTGGCTGGGCGGGAAGCCCTCGGGCGGCCGCCTGCAGAGGGCCCCATGGCCCGGGGCGCAGGCTGTGGCGAGCTGGTTCTGCATTTGGGCGGAGGCGCCGGCGCTGGCAGCTACAGTGGCGGGCATGCGGGTTTCTAGCCCGCCCCTACTTTTGGGTCCCTGGGGACCTAAACCTGCCTCTCGCGGGCGGTGGAGGGGGGTCTTGGCCCTTGGCCGATCCCCGCAGCTTCACGCCAACCCCCTCCCTGGGGCTTCGGCACCTGTTCCAAACGACCTGATGCGCTGACTTCGCTTTGGAAAGGCGTCGGCGTTCCGCTTGATGGTGGCGGGCAGTGTAGAGGCCCCCAGGCGCCAGGAGAGAGTCTAGGTTCCCTACTAGTGAGAGGCAAACTCTCAGCACCTCCTGTGGCACGCAGTGTGTTTCACCTTGGCCTGTGTCCCGGGAACCCAAGGCGCCCTGGGCAGGCCTGCACTTGGCCCACCCTGGGGACTTCTCCGGTAGCTCTTGGTAATTTGGGAGGAAGGACTAGACAAAGGTCGGGATTAGAGACTCACCACCGACTAATTAAATCCTCTTTTCTACTCACCCCCCCACCCCCAAACCTTGCAGCCGGATAGAAATCCTTAGTCTCCTAGCCCCACCTTCAAGTGCTCCTAGAGAAAGCTACTGTTGCACTACTGCCTCAGACGAACTGGCACTTGGAGCCTTCTCACTCCAGAAGTGATTTTTTTTTTAATTATCTCTAGTTTTATGATTTCTTTTCAGCGATCGCACAGGATCCCCTTTAGCTCCTTTCTTGTTTGGACCACTGAGCGTCCCTCAAACAGCTAGGTATCCAGCTTCAGAGTACAAGCCTTTGAAATTGGGATTCTGGTGATAAGGCTAGCTGGGAGATGTTTCTGGAAGGAGTTTTATTATGAAATCCAGTTGGGCAAGCCTTGTGAAATGAATGACAACAGTTTGTTGGTATTTGGATTTTCAAAAAGGCATGTGGACTTCCATTGGGGCAACTCAGAAAAAATTTATGTCCTGACATGCTAAATACAAATGAAACGTTTGAAAGAGCCAATTCTAAATGAGGGCCACCTGGCTATAACCCCTCGCCCAAGTCTGGTGCATAGAATTAAATATTGGGGTTCAAAAATCAGCATTTTGGCAATAGCAAACGTGTGATGTTTCTAAGCACTTATTTAGAAGTTTTTCCTTACTTTTGAAAACATACTTGACGCCTCATTTCTTTGATGGCTGCTCAATAGACACCATGAGACGCTGACTGAGCTGCCCCCTCCCCAGCTTTCCCCTTGCTTGCAGCGCTTTCATCCAGGGCTTGAATTGTGTTGTCAAAGTTTAGTAGACGAAAGAGGAGGGGGCATGAGAACGGGGGAGGGGGGTGTCTTGAAAAGTCTTGGAAATTGGTATATTTTGCAGGTGTAGAATGTGCCTAATAACCATGGCTAGTGCGCGCTCCCCAATGGCGAGGGTATGACAGGGACAGCTGGCTCAGTTTTCAGTGTGAAAACACCCCCTCGGTGGACCAAACACAACGACACTGACCTTTCTGCGGGGGGAACCAAGATGTGCCTTTGACTGAATTAGCCATAAAGACGTCTTGCTATGACTTTTGTTCCCCACGAAAGCAAAGAAATATTGCGTTTAATATGAGTGGTACTGTTCACAGCTTTTCCGTGCCCCTTAAGAAATATTACAGCGCTGATTTACTGGCCCTCTTCTACTGAGTTGGCCCCAAGGCCGAGGGTGGAGGGGTAGGGATGGGGTGGCAAGGACAGACCAGGAGTCGGTGGAGGCAGCGCACCGAGTTGCCTGTTGCCTGTTTTCAAAGTTCTCACTTTGCAGCGGCAAATTTATCAATCTTTTCATCTGACAATACTTGGAAATATATCATTGTCATCCAGAGTTGTTTGATAGATGATCTACAGGCACACCAGCCTTTTCCAAGGTCAAGTTGAAGATTCTTGTTTGCTGTTTAACTGGGTTGTTCAAAAACTCAGAACAATGCCTGCCTGTTAAAATTTCACTTGTTCTCATGGGGCATTCGAAAGCAAGTTTTCCTATTGACCAGTGTGGGGACATTTCATCCTCTTGAGCTTCTGAATTCAGCAACCAGGGCTTGGCAATGAAATCAACAGGAGAAGAAATGAGATTTAACCTTAGCTCTTGCAGACGCCAAAGAGATTAAGCCATCTTTCACATCTCCTCCAAGTGTGTACTAATTTTTCTCTGCATGTCGCGGGCTGGTTATAGCCACACGCATCTCATTCAACTTTCTGCCTTTACTCTAGTGGGAAGCTGCACGTACCCACCCCTAAAGTAGAAGCGCAGAAACACTGTGGCCACTCTTGTCTTTGTCAGCCCACAACCTGTTGCTCTAAGGACGCTTTAAAATAAAGTGGGCCCCTAAATCGTCATGTTTTATGGACATATTTATTTATGTTTTTAACGGAAACACTGGCTTCACAGTTTCTTCTATATCTGCGATGATTGATTTTTTTTTTATTCAGCCAACTTTTATTTACCTTGCAAAAATGTTCTGGACTGATGTGATAAATTACAGATATGCAAATTTCTTTGAATGGTGTTGTAAGTGTGTCTAGCTGGGGCTGAATAACTCCTTGCAAGTCAGTCTGTGCGCACTCAGGACCCCAGGGAGCTGATCAAAGCACCCATTCTCTTTCATCCCCGGTATTCTCCTCCAAACTATTTCGATACAATATGTTTCCATGATGCACTTAATGTGCTAGGGACATAGAACTCATTACAACCTAGCTAGTTCTGCCGACCTCTTTGTTCTGAGGCAGAAAGTCAAAGCAAAAAGGAAAAGCGTTGCCAGTTGCCAGCTTTCTGAAATGCTAAAGCATGCGTCATTTTTCACCAGGTCTCGTCTTGATATCCTCAAAAGACAAACTATGAAACCGGCCTCGGCCCTTGCTGGCATTAATTACACTGCTGTCCAGCCGATCTGTTTTTCCTATTATATGCATTTCTCAGCAGGGAATTTTTTTTTTTTTTTGCAAGACTAATGCAGCTGCACGTTAAACTATGAATGCATTTTTATTGCTATGGAAGAAAAATAAGTGAAAAGACGGCAAAACATACAACTGAACTTTTTAAAGGCTTCTGGTAGATAACAGATTAGGACCGGAACTTGGGGGAGGTTTTTGTAACTTGCGGAAACCTGAAACTGACGGAGAGCCTCAGGCGTTTCCAGTGCGCCCTGGATGTTCCGTGGAGTGCACTCCCTGTACCATTTGAAATTCTGCTCTGGTACTCAGATATATCTTGAAGGTGAAACCCTTCAAGCTTTCTGTTAAAATTCTGAAATGAAACCGTCTGTGCTGCACCCAACTAGGAGGCTGGTTCCAAGGAATTTCTGTCCAGGCTAATAGTACAGAAAATGTAAATTCTATTTCATTTCCCCCGAGTTTCTTGTAGGGTTGATTGGTTGGTGGAAATGGCTGGCCGCCAGTTCTGGGAAAGATTCCAGACCTGACTCCGATTAACCCTCTCTGCTGAAACTCTGCTGGAAACCCAACTCACCAGCAATTGCCATTAATCTACTTACTAATTAAGCCAATTCATTTCCAAAGGAGAAAAATTCCTTTCTTTAGCCAAACTGATGGGAGGAAATCTGAAAGAAGCGCCAAACTGTGTAACTGTAATTCAGCCAAGGACTGCTAAAACAAGGTGTTGATATATAGCAGCAGATTTAAAACAAGTTTCTAGGGCAACACTGCTTTAGAGACGGTGGCATATAGTGCATAGTAGATGAAGCTCGAATAATGCTCTCCGGCGCTATGCCACCCCATGGACTTGCGTCAAGAATAACACGTCTCTCTCCAATTAAATCTTGTGCCGTTTACGCACAAATAAATCGCCTCTCTAGCTTTCTTTCACACCAGAGTATATCAGCTTTATGTGACAGTTACCAAAAAATATATTTCTTGAGACTTAATAAATCGCCCTAGAAATCTGTAATCCGGAGTCTGAAACTGGGGCTACAGGCAGGGCCTAACTTGTAGTTCGGGGAACAGAAAGGACCAAGCTGACCATTACGCACGTGAGAAAGCGGACTGGCCTTTCAGCAAATGGTACCTGACATTCTGGAAAGAATAATACGTGAATCCTGGCCTTGATACTGACCGGGAAGCAAAACTCCAAGGAGTTTCCCACTTACCAAAGAATTGTTTACAGCTTTTAAGATAAGGCTGGGAGCCCAGTACCGATATAAAATTAAGAGCGGACCGCCCTAGAGGAAATTTAAAATCCCCTTGGACCAGGCCTTAAGGCTCGCCTTCATGGCGATTAGTTGGTGGGCGAGGAGGCAGCAAATCAGTTTGCCTTTGTGTTACAGAGAGACACTGGATGGAGAAGAGAGGGAGTGGAGATTTAATGCCTCAAACTCTTTAATTGAAGTCTGTCCCTCCCCACCCTAAGGCTTTGGGGCACACTGCTGAGCCCAGGAAAGCGCCCCAGTGGATTTGACCCCCCCCCTCGGAGTTCATGTGTCACGCTCACCCAGCATGAGCGAGCACCTGCCTCAAGGGCTTGGAAAGGTGCTCATAGTGGGCGCACGTCACGTCCTCTTCACTTCAGGTGCTGGTCGCGAGTGAGTCTACATCATCTGGGGAGACAGACCTGTGATGTTAGAAAGGCCTGGGTGGTAGTATCCCTTAGGGAGGCAGGCCTTACGCCGGCAGGGGGAGGGCCCGCTCTGTGGGTCCACTCTGCGCAGCCCAATGCCCTGCCCCATTACTCAGTAGCATCCATATCATTCACTGGGGTGTTCTGGGGTATCGATGGCTTCTCCAAAGGCTTTTCCTCCAGCATTTCTGACAACCTTCCTAAAAATAGGGCAAAACGAATAGATGTGAATTTTGTTTTACCTGCTATACACAAACCACTTCCCACTTGTCACGCGGAGCTCTTTGCCTCATGTTTACTGGGTCCTCCCAACTCTGGCTCCATCTGGGGTTCCCTTCAGTGACCTGAGGAGAGGGCTGGGAGGGTGGGGGAAGGGGCGGTCAGGCGGTCAGATGCTCCTTGGCCTTCAAAACAGCTTGCATCAGCCAAGTTTTCCTCTGAGACGGTTTTCCCGCTGCCCTAGAATGTGGAAATGGTCTTAGGAGCCTGTGACCGAGGTCAGTAAATGACCTTCTGCTGAGGGCCTCTTTCCTAGAATTAGGAGCAGTTGTAAGAGAATTTTTAAAGGCAGGGTTTGTCTTGTGCTTGGGCCCAAGGACCTAACTAAGATTTAAATTTCCATTTGCATGTTCAGTCTTTCCTCCACACAAAATAGAAAATTCTGCATGAGAAGGAAAAGAAACCTTATTGGCAGGGAGGGCTTCTGAAGCTGGGGAGTAGGGAGGTTCCCGCCCCCCCACAGGCTGTGCTCTCTGCTCCGTAGGGAGGGACATTTACCTGGTGTGTAAATTGTGAGGAAAGCCTTGGGGGTCTGAGACAGGAAAGCCACAACATGGGATGTGATGTTCCCGCTTTGAAAGGGGGACAAAGGCCCCGAGCTAATCCCAGTGAAAGCCAGGAGCGTGGACAAGGCAACAAAGAATTGCAGCCTGTGGTCACCGGTAGGTGTCAATGTGGACACTTAGAGCTGGGGCGGTGGGAGAGGGGGCCACAGAGACAGGCTGTCATTCCGAGACTTAACATGAACAAAGATAAAAACGTGACAACCTCGCTTTTCAATGGTTGGGAGGTGCTAGGGAGTCTATCTGGGTCAAGTCTCTTCTGAAGCAGGGCCTTTCTTTTCTCCAGTCAAGTATCGGCCAGGGAAGTTCTGAGGCCCTCTTTTCCAAGGTAATTTTTCATAGAAGAAGAAGAATTCTTCAAAATAATCTCCTACTCCACCCACTTGCCTAAGGCAAAGATATGGAGCTTTCGAGATTCCTAGACATCTTGTAGAAGGTGTTTTCTGCACCCCAGAGGCTCAAGTGGCTGCATTAAGCCTTTGTGAACTTGAACAGCCTACCGTAACCTTTTTTTTTAAGTTCCTGTATTCTTTTACACATTTAATGAAAAGAAATAACATTTCCTTTTATGAAACTGTGTGTACATGTAGATGAATCTAGGGGTGCCATAATTTAAGAAGTATGCATCTGACAAAGACATTTACCTAGGATACCATGGAAGGAGTAATGAACACCTGGTAGAGTTAGTATGCCCATGATTTCAGGCTCACTATTAGAAATCAGCAGACAAGGCATTTGCCAACAAATGGATCTCCTCTATAATCTGGGAAAGGTAATCAGGAATCTTCCGCTAATGCAACTGATTAGCAAAGACTCTCGGAGAATTAACAAATGGAACTGACAACAAATTATGTTTATCCTAAGAACTCAGAAATGTTGTTGTCTTTAAATTCTGCCATCAAAACCAAAATACAAGTTTAAAAATCACAATGTAATAAAATTCTGATTTTCTTTAGTTGGAATAAGTCTCCTAAATAATAAAAAAAAAAAAAGGATGTAAATATCCTTAAAAGACTAATGACATTTCACAGGTAATGCAATTTAGAAAGAAACACTTCCATGTTTTCTTTTCCAACAATGTGCATTTTTGTAAACTGCTATAAATTGCAATTCAAAAGCACTGATCTCGCCATCCCCAATCATTTTTTATACTGATCAAATGAATGCAGATACTCCCATTTGGGAGGGGCGACATGACATTTCCCTTGGCAGTTCTAAACAGGTCACAGACCTTTCACAGACCCTAAGGCAGTGGGAGGGAGCTCTTTACTAAACCGTGTAACCAAATCAAACCAATGGTTACCCCTTTTCAAAACCATTGGAATGGTTTGCACAATGCTATTCACATAGCAGCACAGAAACTGAAAGGTCATCCAATGGAAATTTCTTTCCTTTTGTTTAAACTTGCAGAGCTCAAAAAAGTCATACTTTGAAGGAAAACAATTACATGTACTATGACACAAATCATAGGCAATACACATGCATGTTTATTGGCATAACACGGCATAGCTGTTAGACACCCATTGGTATGTATATATATGCACATGTATGTATGTATATGTATGTATATTTATTGGAGATGTTGCTTTGTTTGAAACCTTGGGCACAAAGACACAACATGGCTGCCCTGGAGGTGACCTATTGCTTTCAAGTTGCTTGAACACATCAGAATTTCCATTGTTAAGGTTGATTAATTGAAACTGATAAGTTACCATGAATAAAGATTGTTTTTCTGTTTAATGTGGTGGGCCTGATTTGGTAAATGCCTCATTCATGTAGCTTTGCAGTGCAGCATATGGGCAAGAGTCATTCAGTATCACAAACATATACAATTTATTATGCTTGTATGGGCACAGCCAAAAGGCCTTTTTATTTTAATGACAAAGTTTCAATGAAAAATTCCATTTAAAGACTCACTAGTAACACGAAGTGTGATTTTGTAATTTACACTCAGAGTTTCTATCTTTGAGTTGCTGTGAGTAGTTTTAAAAAAATGTAATATTTAAATACAGTAAAAAAAAAGATCCATGTGTCCAACTTACACCATAAGTCATCGGGAATACAGCAGAATTTATCTTAAATTTAGCAGGCACATGAAGAGAAAGCCCTTCATCATCTGATACCACCTGCATGCCATACTGTCGATAAAATTACCATAAATATTTCACCGAGATGCCACCAACAGTAGCTCTCCCTGCCCAGTTTACAACAAAATGCAAAGGAGGTTGGTAAATAACATGCCAACTTCCTGATGTCTTTTTTTATCTTAATGAATAAAACCCGGAGACGATACTTAAAAATAATTTAGGGACCATCACGTGAGATACCCATGGATTTATGAAGTTTTCCACAATTTAATTACTGTTCTTAAAAGCTGATTTCACTTTTTAAAGTGTTAGCCAAATAAAGACTGTCAGGAGTGTTTACTGATAAAGGTAAGGTTTCTAATTTTTTCATAATGATTTTGCACAGAAACTTTTCTCCCCCTTTTTCATTTAGGCCGCTCGTGTAATCACAGGAGAGTACTCACAAAAAAATATGAAAGACATGCAAATGAGCTAAAGGAAAGACTGTATCAAGCCATCAAAGAGATAGTTAACATATTCAGCTTTTAATGTCTTATCAAATAAATTCTCTGGTCATTCATGTCCATGAAACAGTTCAAGTTCACCCAACATTTCTCAATTAGATTAGATGGGTAATCTCAGTTCAGCTCTTCTCGAGAGTAATCAACCACATTGGTCACAGTTGACCACCGCTAGTATGTGTCTCATAAAGGACTGGATGTCCATTGGAAAGCTAATCAGTGCACCGTCCCTTGTAAAATTCCCTCCCTGCATTTGGAAGTGATAATCTGTATCTAATTTTTAAAGAAAAATTTACTCTCCTTTCACTCTTCTGAGGCCAATTTCTTTTCTGGACCTGAATAGAGATCATTGGTGCAACAGTACCAAATAGCTTTGGTATGTGTATAACAAAAACCCACCTCTTTGTAGAACATAACAAATTATGCAATGTTCACAGATGCGCTTCCCATTGTGCCTTTTGTGAGAAAATGAAGACCCAACTCTGTTCCCCCACCCCCCTCTTTATGAAAGACTACGCTGCCAACGCAATCTGTCCTAATCTTAGCGAAAAATAAATACATGTAACAGGGCAGCTTTAGGCAGTTATTTTTAAAGTGGTTTTCATCTGGACCTTCGGTCTATGTAATTTCCACAAGTAGGCATTGGAAGTTCCAAACAGCTATTTATTCTGACAAACGGGCAAAAGGCTTGGGGCCTAAGGATGAAAAGGTTAACTGTTTCTTTCACCCACCTCTGGAGTTTGGGTCTTTTGCGGAAATGCTGTTTTCACACAATTTCCCGCGTTTATAGGTTATCGAGGAATTTTAGTAATTCTTCAACGATAATTTTTTAAATCTACACACTAAAAAGATTTTACATTATGTGTCTGTATTTTGGCTTTGGATAATCCTTTTGCCCCAGAACTTTCAGGCTGTAATTGACAGACAGCACTGTGTAAGTTTAAGGTGTATGGCGTGAGGACTTGACCTAGCTATATTGTAAAATGAGTACCACAGTACATTTAGCTAACATCCATCACCTCATAGAGATTTTTTTTTTTTTAAAGTTCTTCTCCTCGTGATGAGAACTTTAAAGAGCTACTCTTTTAACTTTCAAATATAAGCTCAGTGGTGTTAATTATTGTCATTCTGTTCTACGTCACATCCCCAGTGGCTATTGATCTCACAACTGGAGTTTGTGTCTTTTGATCAACTTTCCTCCAAGTCTCACTCCCTCTTTTGTGGGGAGAGGCTATAAATAGAGAATTCTGACTAACGAGGTAGCAATTTCTGCAGATGTGCTGAGGAGCGCAGAGAAGCATTCTCAGGCCCACCCCTACCTAGCCAAACAGCCTTAAATCCTGGTATTTCTTTTACTGGTTGTCCTAGTCTTTGAATGTCAGTCTTAGAGTACACATTCCAAACACTAAGAAGACTCTCTGCATCCTGAGTGTCGAGCGCAGGGCTTCGCTTATAGCAGGTGTTCATAACATCTGTGCAGGGGATGAATGAATGGAGTGACAAAGAGGAGGCAAAAGCCAGAAAAGGAAGCAGTGTGGCTTCCTTGGTGTCCATGGCCTTTGCAGTTCCCTCGACATTGACTCTGGTCTTGGTCATCCCGTTTGCTTTGACTAGTGGGACTGGAGCAGCTGTGGTGCCAACAGAGACTCAAACAGCCCCTGTGCACTGGAGCTTGCTCTCTTTTGCAGCTCTTGAGGACCCGAGACTGCCATGATCAGAAGACTGGGTTTGCCTGTTCAGTGATGACAAATGCAAGATCTGGCTACCCTGT